GCGTGGGCTGGTCCATGAGGTCACGAAGAGTCGGAGACGACTGAACGAATGAACAACAACAACAAACATTGAAACGGGGGAGCTCAGTTAAGTGAGTCATGCAAGTTCCAGCTTATCATTTCCTCTTTCATGCCTGCGGTCAGATAGACAAAGCCTGGATGTTGCAAAAGATGAAAAAAAGAGAAAGCAGGAGAGCAACAGCCACTCCAACATCCATGCAACACCGTATAGACCAGGGGTCCTCAAACTACGGCCCGCGGGCCACTTCCGGCCTGCCAAGGGCACTTATCCAGCCCGCACACAGTGCCCCTCCTGTGGCTGGCTCACGCTATCCATCAGGCCCGATGGGCAGCGTGAGCCAGCCAAGGGCAGCTGCTCCACGCGACCTACTCGCGCAGCTTGGGTGTGATCTTGGACTCATCGCTGAGCCTGGAACCCCAGGTTTCGGCGGTGACCAGGGGAGCATTTGCACAGCTAAAGCTTGTGCGCCAGCTGCGCCCGTACCTTGGGAAGTCTGACTTGGCCACGGTAGTCCACGCTCTGGTTACATCCTGTTTAGACTACTGCAACACTCTCTACGTGGGGTTGCCTTTTTTTAAAAAAATATAATTTTTATTAGCAATTTTTTTAAATACAACAAGCATAAAAAAAATGGGGAGGGGGGGTTGGGTTATATAAAAAAGGGGAGTGGGAAAGCGAGGAGGGAAAGGGACATGCAGGTCTAGGAGTAGAGTTTAGGGGGGGCAGGAGTGGGGGGGAAGGAAAAAGGGTTTTTTTTAGGTGGTGAGGGGTTTTTTGACTTCCGACTCCGATTTCTCCGCGTTCATGTTTTCTTTTCTTCTAGCTACATCTCTTTCTGTGGCTTTTCCCTTCTGATTCTTGTTATTCTCTTTTTTTTCCCGATCTACTCATCTCTCTTTAATAGATAGGTTTTCTCTCAAATATTCATCTAATGGGCTCCACTCGGTTCTTTTGAGTGGGCGTCCGTATGAGTCTTTTAACGCGTAGGTTAACATGTCCATTTCTCTTATTTATTTATTTATTTATTTATTTACTGCATTTATTGACCGCCGCTCTCAGCCCTAGGGCGACTCGCGGCGGTGCACAACATATAAAAACAGTTTACAAAAAGGGCAAAACAGGGAATCAATACAACAATAATACACTATAATCTAGTTACACTAAATAATCCGCTCCATCACATCATAGAATCATAACCAATATCGTAATCCGTATTCCGTTCCAGTTGTCAATTACCAGTTGCCGTAGCGCTCAGTTGAATGCCTTCTCAAATAGCCAGGTCTTCAGGCTCTTTCGGAAGGACAGAAGGGAAGGCGCCTGTCTGATGTCAGCAGGGAGGTCGTTCCACAGCCGGGGGGCCACCACCGAGAAGGCCCTTTCTCTCGTCTCATTCTCTTATCTCTAGAACTTTCTCCATCCATTCTTCTTCCGTTGGTGTTTCTTTTGATTTCCATTTCCTTGCATAGACTATCCTCGCTGCCATTGTAAGGAATGTGAGAAGTATGTCTTTATTTGCGCTCAGCTCCCATTCCTCTTTAAATATTCCAAGCAGGTAGCATTCTGCTCTGTCTTGGATCTTCAGCTCGAGAATCTTTTCGCATTTTTCATTGATCTTCTTCCAGAAGTTTTGTGCGATGGGGCAGGACCACCATTGGTGGAAGAAAGTTCCAGTTTGGTTGTCGCATTTCCAGCACCTGTTACAGTTATTTTTGTACATTTTCCCCAGTTTCTGGGGCGTCATGTACCATCGGTATTGCATCTTATACCAATTCTCCTTCAGTGCTATAGAATATGTATATTTGGTCTTCTTCGTCCATAACTGTTCCCATTCTTTGAGCATTATTGGTCTTCCGATGTTTTTGGCCCATTTTGTCTTGCATTCTTTAATTAATTCTGGTTGCCTTTGAAGACAGCTCGGAAGCTCCAACTAGTCCAACGCTCGGCAGCTATGATTTTAACAGGAGCGG